TATCATAATAAACTTGGAGTTTATTGATAATTACACGTGTCATGGTGTAAATCTGAAGTTTATCAATATTGATAATTTGTTCAGTTGGCATAGTTGGTTTACCTATATCAATCTAAGTATGATATGCAAAAATAAAAGAGAATTCACATGGGTAAATATTAAAGAACTAGAAAGTTCTTTACGAATTCTCTTATGTTGGCTGTTCTCATTAATTAATATATACCAACTAAAATTGGGATTGAATCCCATGAATGCTGGAAATATCAAAGGTGAATATGAGCCCATTCACCTGCCATGTATACCACAAAAGATGCATCTATGAGATGGTTACATGTGCGATTATTAATAACCCGCAACATGGTGTTTTGCGAGATAACTTGCTCAATAATTTAATTTCGAGCATAATTTCCAGATTTTCTATTCAAGAAGTTCATCTTGATAAGTTGGTTTAGGTCACAGTTGGTTTAGCAAAATGATTTATTGAGTGCCTCCACTTAATAGCTAAACCATTGCTTGTGAGAACAAAGTTATATATATCAGTTTGATATACGTTATATACGAAAGTATATTATTTTCTCCCCTCACAAGTGGTTTAGGGTCAGGAACCAAATAATTCCATCTTATTATTGTTGATGTGCGGTGTATATTTTAGTTAACACCATAATGCACAAAGATGGGTTCTCAAAGTTGAGGTAACAAGTTAGTTTTTCTAACATGAGGGGGAGATATAATAAACAGTTGAGAAAAAGTTACGTGGAATGAATTATCATTTCTACATCTAGATCCTCGAATAAGATAATATGAACTTGAAGTTCATAAAAAGATATTTCATTTGCAATATATTGCAAAGCATGCCAGATGCATTTGATGACCCAAAGAAAGTAACTATATTCTCATTGCAAATGCTCTTATTAAGTCCTAGAAGGACAAAGTCTATGGTACGCTTGAAGCATATAGACAAATCGATTTCAAATAAACTTCTTGATAAAGAAGATGAGCAAATGATCATAATAAAAGAGGCAAGTGATCTAGAAGATCACATGACATAACACTTCATAAAATCTCATGAGAGATTCAGGTACCTGAATATATGAATGAAGAGATCTCTATGTTATGTCTTTATGAAAAAAAAGAGGTTGGAACCAATATAAAATGTTTGTCGACGACATCTATAATAGCGCTAAATATATATGAGGATCTTAAGTCTGAAGAAACAATTCGAATAGAATTGGTTTCATATGAAAGACATGTAGTTTTGGACATGTAGTTCAAACACTTGAAAGTATAAAGTCAATGGTATGTGCAATCACTTTTCGATATCTTATATGTCTAGCATGATATGAAAACTTGATATGCATCTAAAGTCTATTATATGGCTTATATGACTTAACAATCCCTGAAGGATTTAAATTGCTTAAAGCATATAGAATTCATGGTCATAAAGTACTACATCCTCAGTGCAATTTGTGCACAAATGTATCTTGCTATAACTATATGCATGATAATATGATAGCAAGAGTTTTCACCTCTATGTGAAGATACTGAACTGACGATTCTAACAAGATCATATGAAGACAATACATCTATCAGGGATGATGATTTCAAGGTGAAACAAATTCGTTGAAGTTAATATGGCTGATATTGTTTATGAAATATCCACCAACGATCTTTGAAGATGGTGCACAAGATTGGAATGCAAATGCTCAAGTATGTGAATTGATGCTCTCATCAGGGGGAGTTAATGCGCGTTGCACTCTTTTTCCCTTGCAAGGTTTTGTCCCACTGGGTTTTCCTTGCAAGGTTTTTAACGAGGCAACCAAATGGCGCATTGTAGATATGTGTACTCTTTTTCCTTCTCTAGAATTTTTTTCCCATTGGGTTTTATTTTAGTTAAGGTTATAACGAGGCACATTATCTGTTGAATAGACATTCAAGGGGGAGTGTTATAAATAGAATTGTATTTATGGTGAATGTCTATATTTAGAGAGATTCTAGGGTTCATTGCTTGGTGGCTAAGTCACCCTCTCCCTATAAACCGTAACTACAACTAACTATAACTTAAGTAAAAATTAATTAACTTAGATTTTTCTTATAATCATATAATATCTTTTATATATTATACCTATTTAAGTTCTGTAATACTTATGTTTTCTCAGTGGCGGAGCTAACAGATGATGAATTGAAAATCATTGCTTACAAAACTTTGAATTTATTTTGAAAGGTTGCGGAAGAAGTTTTCAAGATTTTCTAACAATGCCGATACCTCTTTATAGTGAAGGAGAAGGTGACTATAGCAATCGATTAATCCATGATGAATCGTATTATAATAGACGCTCAATGTTAGAGGAACATCAACAATTATTAATGAATTTGACGGCTGAACAAAAGTTAGTTTATGAGAAAATTATGGTAGCCATGGATGAAGCCAAAGGTGGATTGTTTTATATGGTTATGGAGGAACTGGCAAGACATTTATTTGGAAGACTCTATCTTCAGGTATATGATCTCGAGGATATATTGTGTTAACTATTGCATCAAGTGGGATTGCATCTCTTTTGTTACCGGGAGATCGAACAACACATTCGAGATTTGAAATTCCTCTCAATCCAACTGAAGATTCAACATGCAATATAAAGCAAGGTATTCCTCTAGCAAAATTGATCGTCAAGCCAAAGTTGATTATTGGGATGAGGCACCGATGATGCATAGATATTGTTATGAAGCTCTTGGTCAAACTCTTAGATATATTCTCAGATTTAAAGGCACATCTAGTCTAGATCGACTATTTGGAGGTAAAACAGTTGTTATTGAGGGTGACTTCAGATAAATTTTGCCAATCATTGCAAAAGGTACTCGGCAAGATATTGTTATTGCTACTGTAAACTCTTTATATTTATGGCCCCACTGGGAAATCTTAAAAATAACAAAAAATATGAGATTGCAAGGAAATCATTTAGGGCCACATTTAGATGAGTTAAAAGAATTTTCAGATTGAATTTTGGCAATTGGTGACTGAAGAATTGGAAGTTTTGTTGATGACATTGAAAAGGTCTGAAGCCTCGATAATCTTCTCATACATAAATGTGATGATTCAATATCTGCAATTGTAGAAAGTACTTATCCTAATTTCTTTAACCATGCCAATGACACAGATTTCCTCCAGCAAAGAGCAATTCTTTCTCCGACGCTTGACATGGTGGAATCTATCAATGAATATATAATTTCACTCAATCACAATCCTGAGAAGACATATTTTAGTTCTGATACGATTTGTATGCCTGATCATGCTTTTACAGCTTTGGACCACGTATATACACCGGAATCCCTAAACAGTATTAAATGTTCTGGAGTTCCAAATCACTCTATTACCTAAAGGTTGGTGTTCCTATTATGTTACTAAGAAGTATTCGGGATTATGCAATGGTACAAGGTTGATCATCACAAGACTTGAAAATCGGGTTATTGAAGCCAAGATTTTATCAGGTATGGCCGGATAAAAAGTGTTTATTCCAAGAATAATGTTGACTCCATCTGATGCGGGAATACCTTTTAAGTTCCAGTGACAATAATTTTCAATTGTGATGTCTTTTCCCATGACAATTAATAAAAGTCAAGGCCAGTCACTATCTCATGTGGGGTTATTTTTAAAGAAATCAGTGTTTACACATAGACAATTGTATGTTACTCTTTCACGGGTGACAAGTAGAAAATGGTTAAAGATGTTAGTTTATGATGATGATGGACAAATAACAAATGAAGCTAGAAATATAATGTACAAAGAGGTTTTCCGTAGTTTAATTTAATACGTATTAAATGATTTATCATTATTGTCTTCTGATCCTTTGTTCTTATGTATCATTTTTTTAGTTAATATTTAATTTGGTATAACGTAGGAAGATGTAATCTGCAGTTGAACTCTGAACACGTAGTTCTGAAAAACAACAAACAAAGAGAAACTAAAACCTATTTCCCATAGATAGCGACAGTAGCAGTAATAAATTGGATGATAGTATTTATTCTGTGTGAAACTTTCAACTTGCATATACATACTTTAGCTTGAACTTGCATATATGTGTGAAATTGAAACCTGCTTGCAGAGTCATAAGTGATGTCTGAATTTCCAGCACCAAGTCGTGAGTGATGTCTGAATATTCTGTGTGAAACTGAAACCTGCTTGCATATAACATGCTTTATCTTGAACTGAAACCTACTTGCAGAGTTATCCTTCTGGTGACAATAAAGATATTCAATACCAAGTCGAAAATCTTAAGTCAAAGAAACGAGTTACTTGCATTTTAGCGGTCTTGAAATGGGACAATTGTGGTCCAATTTTACTGCCTAAAAGGCCCTTTTGTTTCTGTGGCAGTTCACCAGAGGCGACAGATTCCCATTTTTCCAGCGTCTCACTCCTAGAATCTTGAAGCCAATTAAATATTGGCTTACTATAATCTACTGCAGCAGGATGCCTCCACAAGGAAATAGTCCGAAGGTTTATTTTGCAATGTCTTCTTCATTATCTCATCAGTAATTCAATATATGTTGTCTCTCATTTCCGTAAAAAATTATCGCCCAAGGACCAGAAATTCTTGAATTTTACCCATGTCTTTTTGTAGTGATAAACCTCAATAAAGAGGACTTCTGGAAAATACACAGCAATATGCCATGATTATTTGCTACAATAATGTTCCCTTAAGCACATGCTTTATATTAAGCAAATTATATAACATCATTATTTTTCATCAAATATTCATATCAAACAAATTATATAGTATTATTATTTTTTATGGAACATTGAGTCTGCAATGGAATAAAAGTATTAATGGAGTCTCAAAATATTTTTAATATTTGGTTATAAAAATGGTATTAATACTAACAAATTAAATTTTATGATATAGATTGTTCTTTTTAATTATGGGCGCGGGTACTAATAATACTAGTATTATAAAAGTAAACGTGAGGAGAGTCTTTGAGATTTTCAGAAAAGGAAAATAATAAAAGAGAAGGGAATTCCATGCTTTCCCGAATTGCCAAATCAGCTGTCAGTGACTCAGACTTTCCTTTGTGTGATCAGCCGAATCCTTTATAGATCGTCACGTCCTAGTCAAAATTTTCACTTGTGCCATTATTATATAGTATCTCAATTCTCAATCAAGTAGTAGTTCTCATTTTTGTCTTCGTTTCTGTTTTAACTATTATTATCTTGATCTACTACTACTTTTTGCTTTCTGGGTGTTGGCCATGAATGCTCTTGCAGCCACCAACCGTAACTTTCGCCAGGCCGCTCGCATCCTTGGATTGGACTCCAAACTTGAGAAGAGTCTTTTAATCCCTTTCAGAGAAATTAAGGTTACTGATCATTAATTTATTATCTTTGTAAATTTTCTATCTTTCTTGTGCGATCGATTTCATGTGACTATTGATTCTTTTTAAGACGGCTAGCAATTTTTTTTCTCTCTGAATTTTCATGAGAGGTTGATTAAATTTTTTTTGTGTGTGTGTTTGATCAGGTGGAATGCACAATTCCCAAGGATGATGGAACATTAGTGTCCTATGTTGGATTCAGAGTGCAACATGATAATGCTCGGGGTCCTATGAAAGGGGGAATCAGATACCATCCTGAGGTTATTTTTATTTGCTTTTGCTATTTGGTTTTTTTTGTAATTTATGTCTTCGTGTAGATAGCAATTCAATAATTTCTCTTTTAAAAGCTTTCAGCTATATCAAAACTGAGGTTGTATAAACTTTTTGCTTTTGCTTGGTAAAGACTGCTATTCTGAGAAAGATATCAGACAATGCATGCTAAGACTAATAGGTGTTCCACTGTAATCATCAGTTATGTAAGCATATATTAGTGGTATAAGATTGTATTATTTCTTTGGTTGCGCATTAAAGAGTCGTTCCGTGTTTTAGGGAGTCTTGATTCTATTTATAAAACTGTTGGTGTTGTCTTTTTTGGGGGGCTGGAAAGTCAATGATGTTAGGTTCCCGCGCTTATATGTAATTTTAACAACGGTGACTAGACTTCTTTTGGCGCCTACCGTTACAGTACAAATTAGCCAAGATCAGGATAGCTAGAACGGTGGTATTAAATGAGTACCAGATTCCGATCAAATTAATTCCAATTAGTACTTATCTTTTAACCAAAATCTGTTCTGTTAAGCCTCACCAAAAATGTATATATGTGTTGTTTGAAAGAATATTATGATGCATCGTATGTGCATGTTATCCATGATCATAGCATAAGAGATCTGTAATTCCACGAAACTTTATACATAATGTGTCAGGTCAAATCCTTCAGGTGCTTCAAGCATGAAACATTGGCTTTGTCATAATAAAAATAGAAAAATAAGAAAGCATTGGCCTTATATATTTAGATAGAAACTTATTGTTTGGAGGTTTCAACTCATCCTTTTAGATTTTATAGCATCTGGGTTATTTAGTTGGCGACAAACACGTGTAGGTTTGTATACCTACTTTATTTAGCTTTCGTTAATGAGTTCAACATCTATGGGAAGAATTTTCTGGTCAAGGAGTTACTTTATGTGTAGTATCTGCTAGATCACGGTCAAGTTTTCCATCATTACATGACTAGATCTCCAGTAGCCTTTTTCTATCCAATTCTTGTATGTCAATGATAAATTTCATTACATGGTCTTATTTATTCAATTCTCCTAGTTTTGCTGGTACTCTGTAATCATGTGATTACTGTTTCTAGCACTGGACTTGGTACTGAGATATATTGTAAATTTCTTTTGCAAGGTTGACCTTGACGAAGTAAATGCCCTTGCTCAACTAATGACTTGGAAGACTGCTGTAGTAGATATTCCATATGGCGGAGCTAAAGGTGGAATTGGCTGCAAACCAAAAGATCTAAGCAAGAGTGAGTTGGAGCGTCTTACACGTGTTTTCACGCAGAAAATTCATGATCTTATTGGAATTAATACGGATGTCCCTGCACCTGATATGGGCACTAATGCCCAGGTTAGTAATATAGGTCATTATCTCAAAATTCTTCTCTGTGGAGCTGCAGAGTAGTTGCTAACAAATAGGCTTATTGGTACTTTTTATATACAGACTATGGCCTGGATTTTGGATGAGTATTCAAAGTTTCATGGTCACTCACCTGCAATTGTGACTGGAAAACCGATTGTAAGTTCTTGCAACATATTTTAAAGTCCTATCTGCTACATTTTGGACTTATCCAATTTGGTTAAAATTATGAGTTTTCATTCAATTCATTGAAGTATCCTGTTTTATCTTCTGTCATAGGATCTTGGCGGTTCATTGGGTAGGGAAGCTGCAACTGGGCGTGGTGTCGTTTATGCTACAGAAGCTTTACTTGCTGAATATGGAAAGAATATTAAGGATTTGACTTTTGCAATTCAGGTAAAATTTCGGACTTGTTCAATTCCAGCACACCCCATTGTGTTCCTCTGCTCGCTATTTCACAAAATTCACTCAAAATGACTGTTATAATCTTATATTTGTATTTCTTAGGGTTTTGGAAACGTGGGAGCATGGGCAGCAAAGCTTATTCATGAGAGAGGTGGCAAGGTAATTGCAGTGAGTGATATAACTGGAGCAGTCAAGAATCCCGATGGACTTGATATACCCGCTTTGCTTAATCACAAAGAAGCAACAGGGAAGCTGATCGACTTTAGTGGTGGGGATGTGATGAATTCAGATGAAGTGCTTACACATGAATGTGATGTTCTCATACCTTGTGCTTTGGGAGGAGTTTTGAACAGGTTTAGACCCTTAAATTACATTTGAAATTTTTGTTCCTTATATGCTGCGAATATAAAGTAGAGATTCCCAAAAGTAATTGATTGTAATAGCCCTTAATAGGTGTTATTTTTTAACTTTTTGTTACTATGTGAAAGATGATTAATTTTTTCCTATGTTCGATTTACATGATATATGTGAGCATCAATAATAAACCTTCTCTTATTTTCTTTGATGAGATTATGTGGAGAAGAAAGTCTTTACTGTGTAAATTTTTTACTTTATTCTGTCTTTATTACTAAACCATATATAGGGATTTATTATACATAAATATGTCTAATTTTGTCCTTGTGTGAATCTGTTTTTTTCTCGGAAGAGAAAATGCTGATAATGTCAAGGCTAAGTTCATCATAGAAGCGGCAAATCATCCTACTGATCCAGAAGCTGATGAGGTAACCACATTTTCCAGGTTTTCTAGCCATTTGACTACTAGGATTACCGTTTTTTGACAGATAACTGCCTTCTGCAGATTTTGTCCAAAAAGGGAATTGTAATACTTCCCGACATATATGCCAATGCTGGAGGTGTGACAGTCAGTTATTTTGAGTGGGTTCAGGTAATATCATATATCTTTGACATTGACACCCCATATATCTCTTTTCATTACATTGGAAAGATCATACAGGTTTTATTCTGACCACCGTTTTAAGTTTAGTGTAATTTTGTGAAGAATAAGTTTTTGAGTTGTTCAGTCTTCATCATGCCTAGGGGTGGCAAACGGGCCGATCGGGTCGGATATGAGTGGGTTAAAATGGGTAATTTAAAAAACCGGATAAATTATCCGACCCGACCCGTATTTGAGACAGATAAAAACGGGTTTATCCGGCGGATAATATGGATATCCATATTATCCATGGCTTCTTAAATATGATCACTTATGAGAGAATTCCTAGTCTTCCAAACTTGAGGAACTCCAATTTAAGGCTTTACAAATGTAAAAGTTAAACACATTAGTTATCCATTTGGTTAACCATTTTCTAAGTGGATAATATGGTTCTTTATCCATATTCGACCCGTTTTTAAATGGTTCATTATCCAACCCATTTTTTGATGGATAATATGGGTGGATAACTGTTTTCTTTTAACCATTTTGCTACCTCTAATCATGCCATATAGTTTTCCTCTGAAATCAGTTTTTGACGACATAAGACAAGCCTCGAATTCGTGTAGATTGGATTATTGTAAGTAATCTAGGTTGAAATTTTCTGGTCAATGTCTTCACAAGTTCTTCTACACTGCCTCCACCAGAAGGTGCATGCAATTTTCTTAAACTCAGTCATATCTTAATAGCTGTTAAAAATGTACTTTGGCAACTCTTTTCTGTGTCAGAAAGTTGAGGGGAAACTTGAAATCTTAATCTCACTTTTTATTCTTTCCAGAATAGTTCGACTGTGCATTTTAATTGTTCTGAATATATTCTTTGTTCATGTGCAGAATATTCAAGGTTTTATGTGGGATGAGGAGAAGGTTAACAGGGAGCTTAAGAAATACATGACAAAAGCCTTCCATAAGCTGAAAAGCATGTGTCAGTCGCACGATTGCAATCTTCGGATGGGTGCTTTCACACTGGGCGTGAATCGTGTTGCACGTGCCACAACATTAAGAGGTTGGGAGGCGTAATTATATTCGCCTCTTTTGTGGCACAACATACTCCCTTTTTACAGATAAAAATTTATGGTCTTTCTCTGCTGCATAAACTGAGCCATTTTAAACATGTGAGACATTCATCAATAAATAAAACAGCTTTGCTTCATCAATTCTCCTGGCATTCAGTAATCTCTCTTCTCATATTTTTTTCTATAATATCGAGAAGCATGTGCTAGATATTGAAGGGAAGATAGATAATATACTATTGGATGTATGTATATTAATTCTAGTAGTAGCAAATGGAAGTGGAAGTCGTTCTACTGTATGACAGCCACCGTGCTTCCATCTTTATGCAGATGGTTTAGGATGTAGATCCTTGTCATTGTTAATGATTTAGGGAAATGAAGGGTCCAGTCCATCGGAAAAAAATTTCGTGGTTGTGCTCGTGGTGAAGTGGACATCTGGACCTTGTTGCTACTGTGATGAACCCAAGTGTTTAGTCCTCTTGTCATTTTCCAGCATGGAGACTAGTGGAGCAGTACAGGGAGAGGAAGAAGGATTTGCATATGGTGTTTATTGATCTTGAGAAAGCATACGATAAAGTTCCAAGGGAGGTACTGTGGAGGTGTTTGGAGGTTAGCGGTGTTCCCGTAGTGTACATTAGTGTGATTAAGGATATGTATGATAATGCTAAGACTCGGGTGAGGACTGGGGGTGGTGACTCGGAGCATTTCCCTGTGGTGATGGGGTTGCACCAGGGATCGGCTCTTAGCCCATTTTTATTTGCCTTGGCGATGGATGTATTGTCGCGTCACATCCAAGGGGAGGTGCCTTGGTGCATGCTATTTGCTGATGATATAGTGTTGATTGACGAGACGCGTAGCGGAGTTAACGCGAGGTTGGAGGTTTGGAGACAGACCTTGGAGTCTAAAGGTTTCAAACTGAGTAGAACCAAGACGGAATACTTGGAGTGCAAGTTCAGTGACGGGACCCACGATGCAGACGTAGAGGTTAAGCTTGATGCTCAAGTTATCCCCCAGAGAGCGAGTTTTAAGTATCTCGGGTCTATTATCCAGGGAAACGGGAAGATTGATGAAGATGTCGCGCGTCATATTGGAGCGGGATGGATGAAGTGGAGGCTCGCTTTCGGTGTTTTGTGTGATAGGAATGTGCCTCTAAGACTTAAGGGTAAGTTTTATAGAGTGGTGGTTCGACCGGCTATGCTGTATGGGGCTGAGTGTTGGCCAGTCAAGAACTCCCACGTGCAGAAGATGAGAGTAGCAGAGATGAGGATGTTGAGATGGATGTGTGGGTGTACCAGGAGAGGTAGGATTAGGAATGAAGATATCCGGGACAGAGTGGGAGTAGCCTCCGTGGAGGACAAGATGCGGGAGTCGAGGCTGAGATGGTTTGGACATGTTCAGAGAAGAAGCATCGATGTTCCAGTTAGGAGGTGTGAGAGGTTGGCCATGGAGAGTTTGAGAAGAGGTCGAGGTAGGCGTAAGAAGTATTGGGGAGAGGTGATTAGGCAGGACATGGCGCTGCTTCAGCTCACTGAGGACATGACCCTTGATAGGAGAGGGTGGAGGTCGAGGATTAAGGTAGAAGGTTAGTTGGTAGTTTATAGTTGTTCACTGATAGTCTTAGTAGTAGGCGAGTCCCTTCATAGTCTTAGATTTTTAGTAGGTTATGTGATTTTGTTCGCCTCGGGTATTGTATTCCCTGTTGCTATTATTTGGTGCCACTTATCCTTTTTTTTTTTTTTTTTTTTAAATTTTTGATCTTCCATCCTTCTTCTTCCCTTGCTTTCCTCTTCTTCTTCTTGCCCTTTCTGAGCCGAGGGTCTATTGGAAACAGCCTCTCTACCTGAATTAGGTAGGGGTAAGGTCTACGTACAGACTACCCTCCCCAGACCCCACTTGTTGGGATCAGACTGGGCTTGTTGTTGTTGTTGTTGTTGTTGTATATGTCTATTAGGTTATGCTACAAACTACTGAGTGCATACTTAATAACACAAGATGGGATAAAGGTTTCCTCTTTATCCAGCCGTAATAAGATTAAAAAGAAGAATCAGTCAGATCTTATCTTAGCTCAATCAAATTTGCCTTGATTGTATAAACATATACCTGAGCTAGAAAACACAGGTTTTTAATTTTATTTTCAAACTACTGGAACTTGATGCCCTCGAACATGACAAGAAATTGAAAGAGTATTAGCAATTACTTTTTGCTGTATTCTCATTAAAAGCTGTGAAAAGTGGCCGTAAAATATATGGTCTCGCATATATAGTTGTAGTTAGGGGTGTTCATGGTTCGATTTGGATCGGTTTTTTCCTAAAAAGAAACCAAACCAAGTAAGTCGATCTTTCAAATATTAGAACCAAACCAAACCAATTAAGTCGGTTTTTCTCGATTCGGTTTATGTCGGTTTTTCGGTTTTTCGGTTATTTGTCGGTTTTTTCTTAAATATAAGACATACACTACCAAACACATATTCCGGAGACTACATTTTCAACGTAACACTATCAAATCAATTGCCCTTTGAGAAATCTATTATTTATCAAGATATATTGATGATAATTGAATCAAATAGTGATGAATAATTTAAGGACTCACTTAAAAGTATATTATTTTTAACACGAAATGGATTCTTACACGTAACAAAAGAAAACTACCAATCAAACTAGAATATAAAGGTAAAGAACTATACTAAAAGTGCAAATTATTAACATTTACCATTTAATTTTTGAAACTTTATATAAAAATATACATATATATAGGTTCATAATAAATTTGAAATAGCTACTCCTACAGTCAGTTTGGTTCGGTCTTTTTCTGATTAAAACCAAAACCAAATCAAATTTGATCGGTTTTTAAAATTCAAACCCAAAACCAAACCAAACCAAACCAAAAAGTATCGGTTTTTTTGGTCGGTTTGATTTGGTTTTCGGTTTCGGGTTTTTATGAACACCCCTAGTTGTAGTAGTTGGTAAGAACATAAGCTTATTTATTTGAAGACTTAGGCTTTTTGCTGTTTATTATCCAATTGACATCTCATAAAGACGAGAAGAGTAACTTGAGCGAATCAGGGCTTCTGTTGGCATTACTTGACGCACAGATTAAGTGAACGGAGGTTCTTTGGGACTGAAGTAGAGAATTCGTTCAAAGTTGGCAAACAAATGTAATCGAAAGATCTGAGAGTTGAAGAAACAAAGAAATCAAGCTATTCCTATTTTGGATAGAGAAGGGACGTTACCTGATCACCCAGAATTACTGTTTTAAATAATTGATCGATTTCAAGTAAAATTAACAAACATTATTCATTACGACCGGGAAGGTATGTTGAACAAGTTTATCATTTCTTTTGTTTTTAATTTAAGGTTTGATCACATTGCTAATTATCTCAGACGCAACCAACGCGCTCGTACTTTAGACAGTGTCACACACACACATATATAGATATATAGATCGCCCAAATTAGTGGATGCTGAAAGATTTTGTTAGATCTTTGGTCAGCATTTGAAGTAAATAGGAAACGAATGTAGATAGTGATATAAGAGGCTTCATTTTACCATTTTTGCTGAACAGGTTTTTACGGAATTCACAATTCACAACAATTTGCGGCGTGTTAAAAAAATTCAAACCAGCAAATCAAAGCTTAAAAAAACAGAGAAGCATTACTCAATCTTACAGAGTTGCACGGGTGGCTCAAGGGACAAGCTACTAAAGCCTTTGCTTTAGGCCCCTAAATTTTGGGGCCCTAACAATATTTTTTGTTGTGGATTTACTATCTTATTTTCGCTTATTTAAAGTTTATAGAAAAAATATACTAAATACTTATAAAAATGGAAAGAAAGACTATATTTTTTTAATAATAGAAATATTTTAGAACTTTAAATTTAGATACTCAAATCTTCATATTGATAAATAACAATTTTTTCAATAAGATCCAAGGTAACGAATTGTAAATACGTGGCTAACATCTTATTAACTTGAACTTTCTTACCAATGTGAATATTAATATAATATTTTATAAGATAACTACACTATAGACAAAAAGAAAGAAAGAAAAAAAAAGGAAGCAATGTAATACTAATACTATATTTTGAAAGATAACTATACTATAGACAAAATAAAATAAAATTTTAGGCCCCTTATTAAAATTTGGCTTTAGGCCATGAGTTTTATTGAGACGCCTTTGCATAGTTGAACTTCCAGCACCCATAAAAATAGTCACAAAGAAAGGTAAATTTTGTAGGATCGGAGGAAGAGCAATTAGAGGAGATGAAAAGTTTCGCAACTGAAATGTAATTATTATAATTTTTAATATACTTGGTACATAAAGGTTTTCAACTGCCGATATAAAATGATACGGTTTGAAACTGATACGGAAGGATATATTACTGTACTTATATACTATTATAGAAGCGCCAACTTGAGGAGGTTCGGGTCGTCCTGTTAGCTTGTCATGCTCGTAATGCTATTATGGAGAATTCATATGGTTTTTTGCTATATTCAGCGTATTTGGCGGATTCTATTGGCCAAAAGGGCCAGGCCGCCAGCTGTGCTCATCCTGTGTAATTAACTTTCTATAATGTACACGTGCCTTTTATTATGATTTCATGACCAACAGGCCAAGTACTTCTTCAAATTCTTTAGCTTACGTGTTGATTCAGAAGTCTTGAAGATATTTTTGATAAAAATTATGTGTTTAAAATCTTTTAATCATGAAGGTGGAATAAAGAAAGCTATAAGCAAAGGTCAATACTGCAGTAGAAAGCTATTTGGATAAAAATATATTACCTTAGTACAGCTTAAATATTTCTAAATAACATTGTAGCAGAATGGTCTAGAGGTAATAGATGACATGGAGATTTATTTCAAGAAGTATTCATTAGCTTACAACACATTTGAGTAGCTAAATATTTCGAAAAACTCTGTAAACTGATATCAAAGCCGCCATTTTACGGCTGCTAACTGCAATTTTTTTGATGAGGTAAATTGTATTAATTAAAATGGAGAGAACTCCTGTATACAAGAAGTATATCAAAAAGTAGAGAATTTACATCAGAACATGATTCTCTACAAAAGACGCCCACTCTTCTATACAAATAGGGGCTATATGAGTGCACCAAAAAGCGATCAAAGATAAAAGACTATTCTTAATATGT